CTATAGCGTACTCACATCCCACCCCCCAACTCAGTAATTCTAGAAAGCCCACAGACAAATACAGCCCAGGATAAAGTAGAACAAATTTATAAACTGATTTCTAAATCTTCCTTAAAAAGAAAAGAAAATATAACAAATACAAAAACACTAAAGGAGAAAAAAAATCACTCAACCTAATAAGGATAAAGTTTAAAATAGATATTCTCCATCAATTAGTTTGATGATAAAATCATTCTCTAGTATCAAGTCCTTACAATACTGGACTAGGCAGAATTCTAAGATAGTTCCATGATGTCCACATGTCTCTCACTATGTTAACCCTCTGAATAAGCCCCTCCTTTTGGGTGTGTGAGGGATCTGTAACATACTTCTAACCAAAAGAATATGGCAAAAGTGATGGGAAGCTGCTTGCCTGATCAGTTATACAGCAAAGGTGATGCGACGTCATTCCCATGACCATGTTATAAGACAGTCTTAACAGACTGGAGAAACTTCTCTGCCGACTGAAGAAGTAAGCTGCCGTGCTGGGAGACAGCCTACACACCTCCCAGGTAACAAAGAACTGCAGGTGGTCCCTACAAGCTGAAAGCCAGCAAAAAAGTAGGTATCTCAGACCCACAGTTCAAAGATGACTTCTGCCAACAACCTGAGAGAGCTTGAAAATCAGTCTTTCCCAGTTGAGCCTTTGAGCCCCTGATGAAACCAAAGCCCCAGCTCATCCCAGGACTGCAGCTATGTGAGACCCTGAGCGGAGGACCCAGCAAGGCTGTGCCCAGACTTCTGATCTGCAGAAACTGTGAGTTACTATATATGTGTACTGTTCTGAGTCAGTAAGTATGTGGTAATTTGGGGCCCCTGGGTGGCTCTGTTGGTTAAGCGTCTGCCTGCAGCTCAGGTCATGATCTCAGGGTCCTGGAATCGAGCCTCACATCAGGCTTTCCGCTCAGCTGGGAGTCTGCTTCGCCCTCCTCCCTCCTTCCTCCCTCTCTTCTCCCTGTGCTTTCCCGCTTCTCCCTCTCTCTCCCTCAAATAAATAAATAAAATCTTTTTTTTAAAAATCTGTGTCATAATTTGTTATACAGGAATTTGTTTTACAGTTTTAATCAGTATCACCCACAATTTTATCAATAAACACTGAGTAGCTTCACTCCATTAAAAATCATATAAGCTGGGGTGCCTGGGTGGCTCAGTGGGTTAAGCCTCTGCCTTCGGCTCAGGTCATGATCTCAGGGTGCTGGGATCGAGTCCCGCATCGGGCTCTCTGCTCAGCAGGGAGCCTGCTTCCCCCTCTCTCTCTGTCTGCCTCTCTGCATATTTGTGATCTCTTTCTGTCAAATAAATAAAATCTTAAAAAAAAATCATATAAGCTGATAGGCTTTAACAAAGTCAAGAATTCAAGGATGAAATTAGAGGATCAAAAATTAAAGGATAACATTTTTTAAAAAGATAATACTCACAAAAGGTACAGTGCACTTTCGTACATGGCCAAACTGTGCAAAGTGTTCTCTCAGTTCACCTGTATAGGAGGGAAACATGTTAAAAGTAGTTAGTGTATTAGTTGATATACCTGGGGCGCCTGGCTGGCTCAGATGGTAGAGCATGTGACTCTCGATCTCAGGGTCGAGTTCAAGCCCAACACCTGGGCATACAGATTACTTAAAAAGAAAAAAAAAAAGCAGTTAATGTATTTTGCATCCTCCATCCTAGATTGTAGCTAGAAACCAAGAGGGGACCTAGAATCCCCAAACTTTTTGTGAACAGGAACTACCTTTCATTTCCTTGAAGCCTTAAGATTTAGGAAGTAGCTACGGTACTGATTACTTCCTTAAGTTACGATGGGGCTACATCTGATAAAGCTATCCTAAGTCGAAAATATCCTAAGTTGAAAATGCATTTAATACACCTAACCTACTGAGCATCAGAGCTTAGCCCAGCCTACCTTAACCATGCTCAGAACACTTACATTAGCCTACAATTAGGCAAAACCGTAACACATAGCCTATTTTATAACAAAGGGTTGAATTTCTCACGTAATTTATTGACTACTGAAAATGAAAACCAGAATGGTTATATGGGGACAAAATGGCTGTAAGTCTATCAGTTGTTCACCCTCGTGATCACATGGCTGACTGGGAGCTGCCCCTTGCTGATGCTGCTCCTAACCCAAGAGAGCATCATACTGCCTATCACTAGCATGCGAAAAAAATCAAACAGAATGCCTATCAAATAGAATCAAACAGAAATCAAACAGAATGCCTATTATTTTCACCTATCACTTTTTGACTGTAAAGTCAAAAAACTGTAAATCAAACCATAGTAAGTCAGCAACCATCTGTATAAAGCTGCAATGTGCCAGAGATGAGGGGAAATGATGGGGTGCGGGCATATGCAAATAAACTGCTGAGTCGACTGTAGTCATTACTCCCAGCAGATGACTGTCTTCATCAGTTACTGTACTAAGTACATGGATAATAATCCCTGTGAGAAATTCACACACAAGACAGATAATTAGAACACAGTATATTGCCAGCCATATTAGGGATTTTCAAACAAAAGCTCAGTTTACTTCCCTTTCATAAAGTTTACACTCTGTTAAATAGCTGACACTCTAAAATTTGTTGAGATGACCCTACTTACCCTTCCTGCCTTATTACCTATTGCTGGCCCATAGTTACTCTCTAGTACAGCAAATGAAACTCTATGTATCCACCCTACGGATTCCCACCTTTGCCTGTCATTCTTTCCCCTTGCTATGTCAGTAATCTTATCTCTTCCTGCCTAAATTGTAACTATCTTTCAGGACCCAGGCCAAATATAGCCAAATACTATTTTATTGGGCTTCTACTGCCACACAAGGCAATGTACTACCCCTGTGAGGCCTCAGAGATGCATAGTAGATAATCTTAAAGATCAAAAACTACCTGATCTCTTCTGAACTACAGTGCTTATACTTTCCCTGATTAACATTTCGTATTACTGGGTTATTTCCCCCTAGTTCATCTAAACTTCACTGGTTCAACAACTGCCTGTATCTAAGTCTCCTCACCCTCACCACTATACCATAAACTCCCTGAGTGTTGAGTCCACTATGTCAACAGTAACTGACAATAGTAGGGCAGTACCTGCTGAATGAAAAAATGCCTAGTAATCTGTCAACAACCCACACAGACTAAATTTCAGAAGCACTCTAATAGTTGGTCAAACCATTTGGCAAATTCAGGACCTCATGGATCAGCACCAGGACAAACATGTTGTTTGTTTACCACTAAACAAAACAGTGTTAAATATGCATGTCTTGAACAAGGTATTAAAAGTTCTAGAAAACATCCACTTCCCAAACAAGCTCTGGAAGTTAACCGTCTTCCCAAATTACCTATAACTGTTACGGAAAAACTGCTGCAAGCACCTAGAACAATGTCATCCTCAAACAGATACCCCTGAAATATTTGCAGAATGTATGAATGAACCAAGAGAGACTGCTTCAAAATTGTATGTTACACTCTTTTTATGAGTTTTAAACCAACCCATTATGGTCTGGAAACTTGCAGCTGCAGGATGATGGTGACATCCCGGAGCCTTTATACAGTTTCACAGGGCCTAAGCAAGACATTGTACTGCCTAGATCTTCACCTGCTACGTATTAAGAAAGGGGGGCCCAAAACAATCTATTTCCCATTCTACTACTCACACCAGGGCCACAAAGGCTAAGAAGTGAGTAATCCTATTTCCATTCTTTTGTTTAAAGGAGATGACCTGACACATGAATACCTACAATAGTGACCGTGGATTTTTAATTTTTAGTAAGCAAATGTAAAAACCATTTTTCAAAAGTGCAACTGACAAAAATCGATGTTGATGAGAGATTTCAATACTGATTACTCCCAACCCTCTATCTCCAGCCTAGGCCTATCCCATAAGCTTACAGTGATTATAGTAATCATGAAAACAACTATCATTTATTGAGTACTTAGTCTGTATCTAGCACAAGTCTAAGTGGTTTACATATAAACTCATTTAACCCAATCAAAAGTCCTATCAAGAAGGTATCACTGACTCCATTTCATAGAAGAAACTGAGAAACAATGAGCCCTTTTCCCAAATTACCTCCCGTTAGGTTACACAACTATTAAATGGCCGAGGTGGAATTCTAACCTAGACAGCATGGCTTCAAAGGACGTTTCTCAATAAATGATACACCATCTCCTCTGTCCAACTGCCTGACGGAGACTTCACAGGTTTTTCTCAAACTCAACACATTTAAACTTTACTCCTCATCTTCTTTAATCTGCTTCCCCTACATTTAACCACGATATTCACCAACGCTAAAAACCTGGAATTCGTTCTTCCCTTTCCCTCATTTCTTACTCCTACCCCACTCAAGCCATCGCGAAAAGCCGTTGATTTTGTTTTGTTAACATAAATGGATCTGACCCCCTTTTTACCACTACCCTATTTCAGGTCCTCGTCTTTGGACTAAATTATTGAAATTGCTTTTTAATGCGTCTCCTCGCCTTCAGTCTTGCCAGTTTGAATCCACCCTCCACACCGCTGTCAAAATAATCACTTCCAAATCGTAAATCTTGAGTTTTCAAGTAACGAACCGTTCCACCGAGCCACAATGGAAAGGCAGGAGACCCTGAATGCGGGCCGCAAAAGCTTAAGGGGCATCCCTGAACGAGTCATTGAAAAAAAAAAATTTTTTTTTTAATTTCTGCTCACTGGCTTGCTCAGGAACCACAGCTCTTAATCCAGCCACCACGCTGACACGCATTCCGCCGAAAGCAGTGCTTTTGAGGATCGCTTTTACCTAAAACTTCAACCCCTAACATGTCTCCATCACTCACTCGAGGCCGCGGTCCAGGGGATTTTTCTGACAAAAGCCACGGGCCGGCTAACACTCGTTCGCAGCGCCACAGCACCCCTCACTGCAGAGGCAGCCATCTTTAGATCGAGGACCTCTGCGACTTGTGGTCGCGACCCCGGAAGAATCTTGCGGATCTGCTTCCGGGTCAGAAGAGGCCAGCCACCGACATGGGGAAGATGGCGGCAGCCGTGGGTTCTGTAGCGACGCTGGCGGCAGAGCCAGGGGAGGACGCCTTTCGGAAGCTTTTCCGCTTCTACCGGCAGAGTCGCCCTGGGACCGCAGACCTGGGAGCGGTCATTGACTTCTCGGCACCCCGCGGCACGGGGCCTGATGCCCGCAAGGTACGGACAGAGGAGTGGCCCGGGTCCCCGGTCGCCTCGCCTCGCTTCTTGGAAGGGCTTCGGGGTCCTCCTCACCTCTTTTCCCCGCCAGACTGTTATTGAGTAATTCCCGCTCTCCATGGGCGCGGAGTTTAAGTGTCCACGAAGCGTCACACTTTGGCGGTGAAGAGCTGTGCTGCCGGTTCCTCCACGCGGCCATTCCTGGCTGCGGCCTCAACGGTTGGGAATTGTATTCCTAACATTAACTGTCCATTTGCATCTCTACTTCGATTTGTGTAAAAACGCATAAATTGTATTCACAGATGTCAGGATAGCGTTCTGCAGCTTGAAAAAAAACAATTACCGGAGTCGTCCCAGAACTGAGAGGGATCGATGTTGTTAAACCGCTGTCCACAAAACTGCTCCCTGTCGTCTCTGGGCTCTTTAGCAAGAGGGCGTTGAACGATTGAGATGATCTCTCCACGTTTGAAAGTAAAGGGCAAACGAATCCAAACACTATCCATTGTTTCTACCTTCCCCTGTGGAATAAGAAAAGCGACATAAAGGAGGACAGGGGGTACAGGGAAAATCACAAATGTACTATAATGCGTAATTTCTTTACAGTCGCTGTAGCACTGAGGATCCCTGATCCTTTAATTTGGCCTTAGTTTTGTCCACAGATGGCTGCATGCAGAATTCTTTCTAAGCTTATTATAGCCCGCAATAAAATCGGAATGCTATAGTAGCACCATATTTGTCTAGAACTCAGCTTCTTAGGAACTTCGTTTGTTTAAGAAGTGGTCTTAGAGTTGTCAAAATAGCATACAGAAAGTCCGTTCTCTAGGAATAATATACATGGGTCAGATCCTCATTCAGCTCCTTTTGCCCGTATTTTGCTGCAATACTTAAATACTTTTAGAATGGGGATGCCTGGGTTGCTCATTTGGTTAAGTTTCTGACTCAATTTCAGCTCAGGTTATGATCTCAATGTAGTGAGATCGAGTGCCACGTCAGGCTCCACAATGAGCATATGGAGCCTGCCTAAGAGTCCCTCCTTCTCTGCCCACCCTGCTGTGCTTGCCTGTTCTCTCTCTCTCTCTCTCTCTCTCAAAAATACTTTCAGAATGTAAGCCTCTGAGGAGATGATTGTGTCTAGCACAGTATCTTAAACAGTAAGCACTCAAAATAAATACATTATCCATTGAGTACATAAAAACTTGGATATTTAGGAGCACCTCGGTGGCTCCGTTGGTTAAGCCTCTGCCTTTGGCTCAGGTCGTGAGCCCCCGGCCTTCAGGCTATCTACTCGGCAGGGAGTCTGCTTCTTCCTCTCACTCTTCACTGTGCTCTCCCTCTCTTTCTCAAATAAGTAAGGATTAAATCTTAAAACAGAACAAAACAAAACCTTGGGGTGTTTCGTTCCTCAGCTCAAAACAGATTGAAAGTAGCAAACCGGAGAAGAAAGTTGCTATGAGAGCAACTAATGAGCAATGAAGAAAGTGATAGCTAACAGGCAAGAGTGGAAGGAGGGCTTTTTTTAAAGACTCAGAGGTTTGTTTCAACTTAGCATGGAGAATAGGTCCACAAATTTAACTTCAGATATGAGGGTGTTGCTGAATTACAGTGCATTACTAAGTATGGTCTATTTGAAAGATCGTTATAAAGTGTTTGAAATAAAAACATCTTATCAGTACCTGGAACAATTGGCTGATGAGGTCTCTCAGAACATTCCACATAACCATTTTATTATAGAGACTGGTAATAATAGACCAGCCACTAGTTGCTATTTTTTTCTGGAAATCTCTACACTTGGTGAAGTTGATAGGATAAGAGATCATATCTTTTTGGAAGAGAACAGATGATGTATTCTAAGGCAAGCCAGACTCTTGTTTGTTACTAATGGAGGAATAAAGGGTTTTGTTTTCTGAATGTCCTTACTTTAGTGACTGAATATTGGATCCCTTAACCAATTTAATGAGCCATCCGTAAGATGCTCTTATATGCAGAGAAAACTTCATGAGCCCTGGAAAAACTCAATTTCTCAGTAATTAACAAAGGCAAAAGCTCTGAGTTTCAGTTTGAAGTTTCATCTAAAAGAATAAACACGCTAGATGGGATTGGGAGGGAGACAAACCATAAGTGACTCTTAATCTCACAAAACAAACTGAGGGTTGCTGGGGGGAGGGGGATTGGGAGAAGGGGAATGGGGTTATGGACATTGGGGAGGGTATGTGCTAAGGTGAGTGCTGTGAAGTGTGTAAACCTGGCGATTCACAGACCTGTACCCCTGGGGATAAAAATATATGTTTATAAAAAAATAAAATTAAAAAAAAAAAAAAAGAATAAACATGCTTTCAGCAAACGGGGTTTCCAGTTTTACTGAAACAGTTATTCTGTCTGGTTGGAGCACTCTCTTCATTCTCTTAACCTCCCCTGCCTGATGCTCCTCACAAATCTGTTAAAACACCAACTGTATACAAGTGCCTCAGAAGCGTTATTGTTGGACCGAATTGAGGTGAACAGAATTTTCACTGAGGATATTTCAGTACATCTCTCACAATTGAGAGCCTTTGAAGAAATCCACAAAGGTGTGGTGTCATACAAAACGGTAGTCTTGGAGGCCAAAATCAGCCTGCTTCTCACACTGCTTAATTTTATATTGCTTTCTAATATTTGTAAGTATATAGATGACAAAACTGAGGCTCCAAGAAGTCAAGTGACTTGGGGGCGCTTGGGTGGCTCAGTTGGTTGAGCATCTGCCTTCGGCTCGGGTCATGATTCCAGGGTCTGGGATCAAGCCCCATGTTGGGCTCTCTGCTCAGCAGGGAGCCTGCTTCTCTCTCTTCCTCTGCCTGCTGCTGCCTCTGCTTGTGCTCTCTCTATCAAATAAATAAATAAATAATCTTTAAAAAAATAAAGTTAATTGACTTACCTAAGTGTTACATCAAGTAAGTGGTAGAACTAAGTTTAGGAGCCCAAACTTAGGACTCCTAAATTTTCCTTATACCAGAAATATCTTTAGAAGTTCGAGATTCTCAGATCTGACTTGCAAACTAGCTTTAGCCCTCTGACTTCTCTTTCCTTCCTGCTAGGTGGTTAGATCTCAGCTGAGTGTGTCTTCTGTCAGTGACCACGATGCACATAGAGCAGGACTTCAGCCAGTCAGCAAGTGGCAAGCTTATGGACTCCAAGGCTATCCTGGTGAGTGCAGCTGACCTCCGAAGACAAAATCAAATAATCATTTGTCTGATTTCAGGAGAGGAGTTGTAAGCAGGTAAATACACAAAGAGGAAAACTGAACACAAAAATATTTCACTCCCAAACTCCTTATAAGTCTGCCTCATCTAAGATGTCCATTTATTTAGAATTCCCAAAGGTTAGAACTGGAGTCAGTAGTGCCTACCTTAAGTGCAGAAAGTGACACACCAGGTACAAATCAAAAATTATCACATTGATTCTGGGCTCCCTGCCCCGACTCCAAACAGCTACTCTGGCAGAAGAACCACTTTGAATGACGGAACAATTCATAATGGTCGCTCTCATCACAAAATCTCTATGTTTTTGTGTGGCAAAAAAAGAAAACAACCTAAAAATTGTTGCTATTATTAAGGCTGAGCTTTTGAAAAGAACATTAATAGTTAATGAGACCAAAAGCCGTAATAAACTAAATCATGTAGCATTTTGCACTTCAGTAATATTGGGTAGCTCACATTACACATCTAGAAACTAACATAATGAAAGATGGGTAATGCTTTTAATCTTTTTTTTAGTAAACTTGCCCCCAATGTGGGGCTCAATCTCACACCCCAGATCAAGAGTCACATACTCCGGACTGAGCCAGCCAAGAGCCCCAGTCTTTTTTTTTCTTTTAGGATCATGGGGCCATTGTAGATTAATTATTATGAACTATTTAGAAAATGCAGGGCGCCTGGGTGGCTTAGTCGGTTAAGCGGCTTCCTTTGGCTCAGGTCATGATCCCAGGGTCCTGGGATCCAGACCTGCATCAGGCTCCCTGCACAGCGGGGAGCTTGCTTCTCCTTCTGACTTCCCCCACCTCATGCTCTCACTTTCTCAAATAAATAATTAAATAGAAAATACAGAAATGCCTTATGTGATCAAATAAGCTTTTATCTGTCATCCTTTTTCATGGAGAGGACATAAAGTTAACACTGTATTTGTGATTTCAAATACAGATTAAAAGCAAGAAAAATCCCTAAAAAATACCAGTTTTCATTATTATGCCATGGGCCAGGTCTGTGTCACAGCTCTTAATAATTATGACCACTGATGTATTTGTTAACAGTATAGGATGGCATAACAGTATCAGTACTTCCCTAAAAGGCCTCATGCACTTAAATTCTTCATGAAAGAAGAGTCAAATGATGGCTTTAATGTATGAAAGTGTGGCTTGCCATGAATTTGGATGAATGAGGAGCGTGCATCACCAGTAGTCTTATATGTACCTTTTGTTCTTAAAGGCTGCCCTTGATGTTTCAGGCCTACCTCCTGTTTTCAAGGCCTTGTTTCTCTCTTGCTATTACCCTCTTTTAACAAATTGCTTAAGACTACAAAGCTATCAACCCTACTTTGGTTTATCTGTTGTCCAAATAGTTGTATTGATTTTCAGGTTTTCTGGGATTTCACACTTAAGTCACATTTTGTGAGTTGGTACCTCATTAGAGGTACCCTCAGAGACTTCATTCTGTCTTCCCTGACATTTGAAGCTGCATTTAGTAGAAATCCAATGTCCAAAACGTGGGAAATGACCATCTCTGATTTAGACTTGATCAGAGGGATTGTGTGAACTTCTGGATTCTGCTTGTTGTGAAGGAACCTGAGTAACCACAACCTGTCCTTTTAAGAATGAGCAGGAAGTCATGGGTCTGAAAGCAGTGTAAAGCTGAGAGGGAACCTGACAGCATCCAACATTTGAAAGGTTGTCATACCACAAAGGGATGAGAGCAGTACATACTAGTAGTGAAGGCCTAGGTTCTGACATGAGGCTACCAACTGGATGGTTCTACCATCCACTATATGACCTTGGGCAAGTTTCTTAATCTTTCTTGGCCTTGGTTTCCTGATAGGTAAAATGTGTATAAAAAGGTGCTCACTTTGTAAGGTTATTGTGAAGATTAAATGTGAGTACACTGTGAAGTACTTAAGCCCCATGCCTGGCACATAGTAAATGATTGATAGGGTGGGGACTTTTTTTTTTTTTAAAAGATTTTATTTACTTATTTGACAGACAGAGATCACAAGTAGGCAGAGAAGCAGGCAGAGAGAGATAGGAGGAAACAGACTCTCTGCTGGGCAGAGAGCCTGATGCGGGGCTCGATCCCAGGACCTGGGATCATGACCCGAGCTGAAGGCAGAGGCTCCAACCCACTGAGCCACCCAGGCGCCCCGTAAATGATTGATAAATGAGAGAAAGCTAGAGGTATTTTTGAAGAATGAGAAACTAATTTGGGGGTTGCTATGTGTATCCAAACCTAAGATCAATGCATGAAAATTAAAAGGAGGCAAATTTTAATTCAGTAAAAGAAAGCAACAGTCATCTAGAGTGGACTGTCTAAAAGGTAATCATTTTCCTGTTACTGGGTAAGCAGTAGTCTTCCTTTAATCTGATATTTTACAGAATGTTATAATCTTTATTTTGTGAAGTAATGCTGATAGGTGGGTAAGTTCGGGGTTTCCATATCTTTTTTTTTCCTCTCTCTCAAAATATTGACAGTCCTGTCATACTCTAAAGTTATTTGGAGAATTTTGCTGATGCATGAAGTGCAAAACTAGCCTCCACACTCAGAAACAAATGTTCTCTCTCCTGTCCTCCAATTTTAGAGGAAGAGGAACACCTTCTGTTCAAAGCCAGTCCCTTCACCTTCTTGATTCCACCTTCTTTCACCCCTTCCAGCTTTTAAGACCTTGCTCTGCTCCTTTCCTCTTTTCCATTTTCAACCAGTTCCAATCTCTGCTGGTTCTTCCGCATTATCTGTAAGCATGCTTAAGCCTTTCCCAACCCTAAAAGCCATAAACTCTCCCCTTAAATTCTTTATTCTTCCATGACTCTTCAACCTCTGTTTCCTTTTATAGCCAGGTTTCTGCCAGGCATTATGTGCGCAACGGCCGTCTCTGCTGTTCTGTCGCCAGGGGCTTCACTGATGACAGTTTTTCATCTTTAATTCTTAAGAAAGTACATAGCATATGTTCATTGAGTATTTAGAGAATGGATCCTTAGCCTGCATGGGATTCCAGTTAAATATTGTTATTCCTCTTCGACACAGGAGAAGAATGACGTTCGACTACTTTCAAGGTCACAAAGTCCTTTTCCGCGCACGTGCTGTAGATATTTGCATCATGCCGTACTGAGCGGATGTACTTCACAGCGTCTTTCTTCCCTGTTCTGTCCATCAGATTTCAATCACTGGCAGAAATCACACCAGTTTATTTTAACTAAGGGAATTTAATGTAAGAATTGTTAGCTAGATACCAGAAGACAGAAAAGGCCGGGGGGGGGGGGCCACTGAGCGCTCACAAAGGTAGTAATTGCAGGAAGCAGCTACCACCTTTATAAATGACAAATACCGGGGCGCCTGGGTGGCTCAGTGGGTTAAAGCCTCTACCTTTGGTTCAGGTCATGATCTCAGGGTCCTGGGATCGAGCCCTGCATCGAGCCCCACATTGGGCTCTGCTTGGCGGGGAACCTGCTTCCCCCACTCTCTCTGCCTGTCTCTCTGCCTACTTGTGATCTCTCTCTGTCCAATAAATAAATAAAATATCTTTAAAAAATGATAAATACCTGGTACAGATTTGAGTGGTGACTTGTGGCGTGACCAGTTCTAAGTTTGCCTTGGGGTAGCACAGCGGATAGTTGTGGAATATTTGTTTCTCTTGAGAATTTCTTTATTTCTTCCCTTCCTCTAAAATCGGAGAATAGGAATGAGAACATTTGCTTACGAATGTGGAAGCCACAAAGCATGAGCAAAGGGGGATAGGGAATAAATAATACAGTAGTGTGTATAGGATGTCATCGAAAACAAGTTATATCAATAACTGATGGAGAATTTTCTCCTCTCCTTTTCCCCACCTGTCCTTTTGTATAGGATTTATTTTTATCCCAAACCCCTTCCTCCCAGGTTACCAGTGGCACTGGGTGAAGCAGTGCCTTAAGTTATATTCCCAGAAACCAAATGTGTGTAACCTGGACAAGCACATGACCCAGGAAGAGACTCAGGACCTGTGGGAACAGAGCAAAGAGTTTCTGAGGTAAGTATTCATCATATGCAGCTCAGCACCCTGCACATCTTTAGAGGACCTGCTCTAGAACAATGCAGTGAAAGTAACTGAACTGTTTTTTTCCCTTGTTTCCATGCAGAAACAGCACAGTTACATTCTTTCCCCTGGGAACATTTGGACAGATGCTTTGACAGTTACATTAAATTGATACCCATTTTAAGTATTTCCTTATCATAGCTCAGATCTTGAGTTCATCCTCATTAATCATCAGCTGGTCCAGCTTCAGCCCTTTTTCTACTTAAAGTGAGTTCCAGGGGCACGTGGCTGGCTCAGGTGGTAGACCACGAAACTCAGATGTCAGGGTTGTGAATTCGAGCCCCACATTGCATGTGGAGATTACTTAAAAAAATATAATGTTTTTAAAAAGTGAACTGTGAGTTCCTTTGAAGATTTGTACCCTGGAAGAAATTAACACCAAAAGCTCTTTATTTCTACCTTCCTAGATGAAGTCACCGCTACTAGCAGTTTTATAGTCAGTTGTTCCTCATGAGAACTAATGTTTGCACCTTAATGTTGAATCAACCTTTATTCATTCACAAATATATAATTGTTTTGAAGTCAGGTGCCCCATCATTCCACAGAAATTTATTGAGGATTAATTGTATACAGGCATGATGCTAAGAACTGGAGATACAAAGATTCTCAGGACACTTTCCTTATACTCAAGAGGGCATAGTCTATGGCAGGAACTCAATGTCAACAGGAATAATTATAACAGAGCTTAGAAAGTGTCAGAATAGGTGTTTAGAAAAATGCTGTGGGGGGCAGAGAGAGACATAATTCCTCTAGGCAGAAGAAGGTATCAAAGAAGAAAAAATTACTTTCTAATTGGGTCTATTATTCTCTTTCTACGACCACCTGGGTTCTCATCCCAGGTCTGCCACTTACTATGTATGTAAATTTGAGCAAGTTTCTTAACCTTTCTGTGCCTCATAGTAGTCCTTCCCTCATTTAACAGTGTGAGGATTAAACAGGGTAATATGCGAAAAATCTTCGGAGCAGCCCATTAAAACACTGCTCTGGCTTTGTGTGTTCTCTTTGGACTTAGGATCTCTAATGGTTCAGTTTTCAGAAACTGTGTCATACTGATTCCAACAGGGGAAATAGAAGAGTTCCTTTAGTTGCAAGAGGAAAGGAAAACTAAAATTCTTTGGTTTTCTTTTGAAGCCTCCTTGGTCCGCAGGTTATGAGAAAGGCAGGAGCAGTGGGAAACACCCTCTGTAAAGCTCTTGGTGATGTCTTCTTTAGAACTGAGAGTGAAGTATAGGAAGATCACGGTTGAGTGAAATTTGTCAGAGAGCTAGAGTTTGAGGTTAAACCAGCCTATGTTTTCAAGTAATTGATTTTATTCCTTCTGACAAATAACTGCAGAAATCCCAGTTATCATCTTCCATGATAATTCAGATGAACCTCATTAATAAATCATCGTAAACAGTGGTGAGGGTCTTTTTTGGGGTTTTGGGTTTTTTGTCTTGCCAATTAGTAAAAATAAAAAATGTGGTGGTCCTACCTTCTGTTGTCAAGGGTTGGAAGAAAGTGATAGGCTCAGACATTGTTGGTGGCATTGAAAATTGATTAGGACCCTAGTTCTTCTGTCACTATGTGATACGTGTTTTGATTTCCTCATCTTGGGAACAAAGGGATTGGACTGGATAAGCCATTTCAGGTGGTTGGATCATGGTTGGAGTCACCTGGACAGTACATGCCAGCTCTCCCCACTTTTCCAGAGCAGCTCAGAAAGGGAGAGGGCCTGTCATTGAAGAAGATTCCCTAGAGATTCTGATTATTGACCATAATATCCACATTGAGGACTGCTGAGCCAGAGGACCTCTAAGGATCCTTTCCGTTTTAACTTTTTAGTGTTCTGTGGTCAAGGAAGAAGAAACTTTTAAGTAGGAAATGAAGAAGAAATATTTGAACTTAGAGGGGAAAATAAGTCTATTCACAAAATTAGGGCACCTTAGTTCTGTGAGTGCATAGTGTCGCTGGAGCCTTCACAAGATCGCAGTAATTAGGTATAAGCATCTTCCCTGCAGCATTGTTCATAATGAGAGGGCGATGAGAAGCATGCTAAGTGTTTGTCAGCAAGAGACCAGATAAATCAAGAGTGACATACCCCAGCAGTAGAATGCAGCCACAATACAGCCATTCAAAAATCTTAAATCCAACTATAGCAAATATAGGAAGGCTACCACCATAGTAAAATCAATTTTCAGCATCTCGTCATGGCTGCCTTAGTCTGAGCCACCATCATTTACTGCAATAGCCTCCTAGCCTGTCTCCCTGCGTCTGTTCTTAAGCCTCTTCAGTCTTTCTTCTTTTTAAGATTTTATTTATTTCTAAGAGAAAGCATGTGCACATACATGACCTGGGTGGAGGAGGCAGCAGGCAGAGGGACAAGCAGACTCCCCACTTGGCAGGGAGCCTGATGTAGGGCTCTGTCTTAGGGCCCCAATGAGCCGAAGTCAGATGCTTAACTGACCAAACCACTCAGGCGCCCCTCTTCAGTCTGTATAGAAATCCCTGCACTTCTCTTAGAGTTTCTCATCTTCAGTACTGCAGTTCAATTCTGATGTCATCATCCAGAGTCGACAAGGACATCACAAGTTGAGGGCTAGGTCTCCAGGGTCTCCAACCAAGCCAGTCTCACTTAGGATACCAGGCACAAGTTTGGGAGATCCCAAGCTACCCACACTTCTGACCAACTGGTTTCAGATTCAGGGGAGTTCCCATGACCCTCTCAGGTTCATAACTCACTAGAACAACTAACAGAATTTAAGAAAGAAATTCAAGTATATAATCATACTTACGTTTATAGTTTTATTATAAAAGATACGAATCAGGACCATCCCAATGAGGAAAATGTAGGGCGGTGTTTGGGAGGGTCCTGACTACAGAGCTTCCATGTCCTCTTTCCATGGAATCAGGAAGTGTCACCTTCCCAGGAAGCTCTCACAAACCTAGTATTCAGTTTTTTTGGTGGGTTTCACTACTTAAGCATGTTTGATTGAATTATTACTCACATGATTTTACTCCGTTTCTAGCCCCCAACCCAGCCCCTGAGGTTTAGCTAATCACTTGACTGAAAGCCTCCATCCCTCTAAGCACATGGTTGGGCTTCCTAGCCTGACAGACTCATATCCTGAGTCATCTCCTTAGCATAAACTTAGCTGTGGTATAGGGCCCACTGTGAATAACAAAGATACTCCTATTTCTCCAAGAAATTCAAGGATTTAAAACCTCTCTCCCAAGAGCCAGGGACAAAGTCCAGTGAAAATTCATTAATGCAACTCCATCACACTTAGAATAAAATCAAAAGTCTTTACCATGGCCTGTGAAGACCTTGGTGATCCATCCCCCAGCCACCTCCAGTTTCATCTCCCACCATTCCTTTCATTTATTCTGCTCTAGCTTTAGTAGCCTCCGTGCTTTCCCTTCAGCACATCAGACAAGCTGAGATTCGTTATACAGGCTGTTCCTTCTACCTGGAAAACTCTTCCCTTAGATAATCAGTGACTTGCTTCCTTTAAGTCTTTGGGTCTTATCATCTTATGAGAGATGATTCCCTTATCATTAAATTAAAAATAGTCCCCCATTTTCCCTCAATCTTCATCACCTTGCCCTCTGTTTTTACTCTTCAGTGCATGATAATTACCAAATATTTGTGGAATTAATAAGTGGATCCTATCTTGTACCTTTTGAATTTTGTGAATATAGCATCTATTAAAAAATAACTTCTTAAAGAATAAGACGAGGAGAAATACTAATTTCAATAAAGCAACTTTGCTTTATCTATTCCATAAGTTAGCCAATGAAATGTTTTGCATCCATTTTTGTATATGTGGAAGTTTTTTGCATTAATGTCCTCAGTGTGGAAGCAGAATTAATCTCTTCCCCTTTTCTACTCCTTTAAGACTTTGTTTATGAAACTATTATAAGCACTTGTTAGAGTGGATCCAGTCATGGGGCCCTTCTCCCTCCCACTGCCTGCCGTGCCCCTCCTCTGCCCCAGACCTTGAAGTCTTTGTAACCTCAGTGCCAACCACAGTTCTTTGTATATATTAGAAACTGCTTTTTACATATTACTTTAACTAAATTGATAACCCCCTCCCTTAGGCTGATGAAAACATGCTGAATTTGAGAAGGATCAATTAAAGACTATATAGTACCTTTCCATCTTACTTTCATTATTGAATAATGTACATTTGTGTTTTAGGAAATACTTGATGCTAAAACAGATATGAAGATTAAAATTAACCCCCTGCCTTTGAGGAAGGGACAATTAAAGGAAGAATTCAGGTACTTACATACAGAATTTGTAGGTGAATAGAAGTCACAAGGTGCAGTGGTGGCACAGTGGAGGGACAGACTGAAACTAGGACAGATTTCCCTGAAGAAGTGAGGTTAAACTGTGTGTGCAAAAGCATGTCAGAAAAATCTGCTGTACGGAGAATAGAGTAGAAGAGGAAAGAGCATTTCAGTAGAGAAAATTGTATGACCAGAGGCACAGCCATGAAGGATGGGGAGGGTAGTGCCCCCTGTGGGAAAAGGAAGGGAGGTAAGATGGGAAAGTTAAGAACCAGATTATTAGGGGGTTGCGTGCCTTTTGGCAAAGTGTGGACTTTGTCGTATGAATCCCTATGGGGATTCATCAGGATTAATCAGATTTTTCACTTTAGAAAGGTAACATTTTTAAAGGCTTTATGTATTTGAGAGAGAGAGGGAAAGAGAGCACAAACCAGGGGAGTGGCAGAGGGAGAAAGAAGCAGGCTCCCTGCTGATTCCAGGACCTCGGGATCATGACCTGAGCTGAAGGCAGACGCTTAACCAGCCAAGCCACCCAGGCACCCTTAGAACGGCAATTCTTGACAGTGAGGAATATGGACGGAAAATACAGTTGTTGCAAAAAGCACAATTAAGAATTTAGCTTATTAATGGAAGAGACATTGTCAACAAGGCTTGGTGACCAA